TCTTGAAATCAAAAGATTTTGCTTCGACGAATTTCAAGAAAGATTCTCGACACGATCGAACGAAAAGTTCAGTTTATTTTTTATAATAGAAATTACTGTAGTTACTATATAATATATATATATTCTAGAATGCAGAATATATATATATATTGTTCATCTACAGTTGAATGGGAGATTTTTACAATGAAAGATCAAAAGATTTTGCTTCGACGAATTTCAAGAAAGTTTCCCGACACGATCGAACGAAAAGTTCAGTGTATTTTTTAAAAACAGAAATTACTGTAGTTTGGAAATATTTCTGACACAATTGAGAGTCAACTTTGGCTATTTGTCTATTCCAAGAAAATTGCTCGTCTGTACGATAGCTTGCTATTTCCGATTGATAAAACGTTCACGTTATCACTGTCATCAACGAAATATCGATCGAATCAGTGTAGAAAATTAAACCGGTAAATTAATCCGGAGTAAAAGAAGAGAAAAGAAATCGAAAGCTAAAAAAAAGATTAGAGTATCCCACTTGCTTTATCTCGCGGCTGATTATTCCCGTTCTCGCGTTTTATTATCGATGACACACGAGATGGATTAAGAAGATTAGGAAGTGCCCATTATGAAACAATAGTCGTAAGAACATACGCAGATCCGCAATCGTAAGAAAGAAGAATCCGACTACGTTAAGAGAACCTATTAATAGAAACTGGGAATCATCGATACTGATTCAGACGTTTATCTGACAGTTGGTGATAAGGGCGAAACATCAATCGAATAGCATTTGCTATTGTCGATATAGGTCGCGCACCAATTCATCATCGCTCAAGTTTTTCCTCAATTTTCAAAAAAAAAAAAAAATAATAATAATAATAATAATTCAACCATCTCGTCAAAGTTATTTACACCGGTTATTTATATATCGAAGCGCGTAAACGCGGCGTAATCAGTCGTCGACACGAGGGTGTCGGTTTACGAATCGGGAATGCGAGTTTAACGGGACCACGTTAAATATTTATACACCTCGCGCGATCGGGGTTATCGAGCGTGCGCGACGCACACGCGCTCTTCGACTCGCTAACGCTCTCGTCGGTGCGGAATTGTTGATGGATTTTCATTCCTAATTGATCGAAAGAAACATGTACATGGGAAGATGGGGGTAATTTTTGAAGTTTCTGCGTACATGTTTATCTTCGTTTGTTCCATTCTCGCGTTAGGACTCTGAACTCTTCGAACAATTTCTCCAACTTCTCTCTGTGTCGGTTTCATCAGCTTTCGTTCGTTCGATAAGAATTCACGTTTCGTGCAAATGTACCAAAGCTCAGCTAACCTATCTATTCGCTAAAATCTGCCTCCCATGAAATAGGAGCGCGTCCGCGCGCGTAAAATAAATATTTAAACAACGGTCGAACGAGGAGGAAGGGAAAGAAGAAAGGAGAAGACAGGCAGAAAGGAGAGAACGTCGTCGTGAGGTCGTCGTTGTACTTTTCATGAAAATAATGTGCCCGTCGAGCTTGTTTGCCCGCGATAAGGTTTCCTCGTGCGTCTTGTATCGCGGTCGGTGTGTGTCCCGCGGGCCTCGCCACTCGAATTCCCTGGTACACATTTTCTCTCTCTCTCTCTCTCTCTCTCTCTCTCTCTCTCCCCCCGCTCGAACAGGGCCCCGAAACAACGAGATAACGAGTGCACGCAGCCCTGCAGGCGGCCAGCAGCCAGCAGTCCGCTTCTACTTTCGGTTTCGTGTCTGTATCTCTCACAAACCCCAGCGGGGGTGGCGACGGGAAGAGGGAAGGATACAAAAAAAGAAAAAAAAGAAATAAAAAAAGAAAGAGAAGAAAAAAAGAAAAACAGGACGAGCCGGGTAGCTCTCTAATTATTCATCATCGTGTCCGAGGCGGGAGAAACAAAAATGGCCGCTCTTCGTTTCCTCTCTCCGCTAATACTTTCATCCAAAGAGGATTCTACGAGCTGTCTCGCTTGCTCTTCGGTCGCCAGTCTGGATTAACGAGCACTTTATTTGCCCGACTCGACTCTTTTTTTCCGCTTCGAAACGCGTTGTTCGCGTTCCGTGCCTCGCGGACACCAGGCCGGATTATCAATTTTCTTCGGTCGATGGCTCTGGAGATTCGAGAGAGAGAGAAAGGGGGGAGGGGGAGGGGAAGAAAAATAATCGACACACCCTTTTACGAGATCGGTGAACGATCCGTTTGATGCGTTGATATTGCATTCGCGAGATTTCTGCCTCCTCTGACATCGGTAAACTTCTGCGCTCGTTTGCCCTCGCACTGACACGACGAGAACAAGCGATAACCATTATCAATATTTGTCCTGGCACCAAAGAAAATACTTATTACGATAAGGAACGAGCCTCGTACCGACTCCTGATTGGAGGCTGACAATAAATATCGCATTGTCAATAAATATCCGAAGACTCTCTCACAAAATCTACCCATATTCTCCGACACCGTCTTCGCGGTCCCGCATATATATGTATATTTCCTCGTATGTGATCCGGAGATTCTTCTAGAAAGAGAACCATACACAGAAAAAAAGGAAAAAAGAAAAATAAAGAAGAAATCCCGAGAGAATCATCGTAAGATTTGAAACCTGTAATTTCGGAGGGTGCCATTTCTCCCCCTTGTAAAGGCAGAGAGGAAAGAGACCAAGAGAGGAGAGGAGCACGGTAAACGATTCCGCAGTATGCATTTATATATCCCTCGTTGCAATTCGGGGTCAAGGAACGTCTTTCACCGGTCCCTCGGAGAGAAGAGTGTCGAGGAAAGGTTTGATCGTTGCGGGTGCTGCGCAGAGTTAGAATAATTCATCATTACTTTTTGGCTTCCCGTAATAATCCGCGCAACGCCCACCGATTATGCGCGCGTTGACCATGCCTGCGGGCGATTTCCCATACGGCAACACCATGGGGCTCGATTTACCTGCCTTTCTCTCACTCTCTCTCTCTCTCTCTCTCGCTCTCTTTTTCTTACACACCCTTTGCTCGATCGTTTCTTCGTCTCCTACCTTCCCGACCAAAACAAATTCAGTGTCCTTGTCTTTCTTTTCTGCAACTCTCCGTTTCGTTGCGCGATCCTTCCTCGTCGTTCCCTCTTCTCTGACGTTTATTAAAATGCAGCGTGCAGAAAAGCAGCGCAGAGAGGCGGACCCTGTTCCATAGTGGCTCCCATAACGAAATTACTGTGATTAGTTGTTCACCCTCCCACGCTAACCACCGTTCTAACTTGCCCTAATTTTACCCCCATGACGCTCCGCTTCTCCTCCCTTCTCTGTTTTCCTTTTGATCGCCACGCACCAAAGTTACCGGGGAACTTTGTGTCCTCTCCGACCGATCTACCCTCCTCTAATGGCCTAATTTTTGTTCTCGTGTTCGAATCGTACCGGGAATTTCTCCGCGACCGGTCCTTTCTCAGCCATTAATTTTTTTCCGTTTTCGAATGCTCTGTGAATCCGCAACGATCGTCGAAGAAATCGATCAATTTTAGGGGGGGGGGGATTTTAGACGAATGGTTTTAACAGCGGCTGTTGGAACCCATTAAGACTCACGGTTGCCAGTTTAATACGTGTATAAGAGAACATCATCCTTAGACAAGAGCCCAACAGCAGACGGCTCTCCTCTTCTTCTTATCGTTGAAAGACTGTGCAAACAGCAAATTTCAAAATCCATTACACGCGCGAAGAAGACAAGGATAAAAGGGAAAAGAATTCCATTTAAGGAATTCCAAGCACGAGCAGATAAGGAAGATAACATTTGCATCACAGAAAATTACACGGAGATGAAATCACCCGATTGCTACGCCGCTCGTTTCGCGTTACACTTTTTTTTTTTTTTTTGCCG